TTTTTTTTTCTTTCCCTGTGCAGGAAATCCCTCCCCGACTCCTGTTCTTCCTTTCCTGATTGGAAAAAAAAAAGCTCAGAAAAAGAGCGGCGGAGGGAGGAGCTGGGCCGGGCCGGGGAGCTGCGGACTGTCAGTCAGACGGGGGGGCGTGTGTGCTTGCGTGTGTGGGTCTGAGGGAATGAATGAATGGATGGATGGATGGATGGGGGATTCAGGGGTTAATCCGAGAGGACGGGGGCGTGTGTGTGTGTGTGTCTTTTGGGGAGCGTGTTACCTGAGACGTTGGCGCGCTTGGGAACGTGTGCGGACAGGTAAGGAAGGCTTTGTGTCTGGAGGGCGGGAAGGGGGGGCGCGCCCGAGAGGAGCCGAGCCGCCCCGTTTCAAGTGCGAGGCCGCCGGGCTCCTGATGAACTCGAAGAGGTTTAATGGGAGCTCCTTGGCAAGGGGAAGCGTGCAAACGGGTGCCAAAAACGGCGCTGGAAACGGAGGGCAGGGACATCTTCCAGGTAGCCAGCCTCCATCCTCCCCGGCCCGCCGAGGCTCCCGTCGGGGCTACCCCGAGCTGTCGACAGGCGCCCCTCCCTACGCGCGACATTTTAGGCCCTCTTTCAGCCTTGTGCCTTTTTTTTTTAAAGAGAGAGATTAATTTGGTATTGCTTTTAAATTACTGTTAATTAGTGTTAATATTTTAAATTGTTTTTTTTAAAGGGGAGATTGATTTCTGTTCTGGTTGATATATTCAATACAGCCCTAACATGTGCACAGAATGCAAGGAAGTGTAGGCTGCTCATGGCCAGGACACCCCTTTTTCATATACTGTAGTGACATGATTTAAAAGCCTTAAATCTGTTCAGCCCCGCAGTTTTTCCTGAACCTGTGGATGGCAGAGGGGAGAAAAGCTACTACACTTCCAGGAGTCCCCTAGCCAGTCCAGACCCCTGCAGGCTGGGAATTATAATCTAAAAGGTAACTTTTACAGATCCCAGTGGGCAGAATGGCAGTGGCCGCGGCTGAGGCACTTCATTGCTTTGGGTGCACTCGTCCTTTGCTATGTGCAGAGGAGTGAACCCATCGCCCTATTTTGCAGCCCAGGGCTTCAAGGACAGTTGCCAGGTATTTGCTTCCTATTTCTGTCTGGGGGATGTCATCCCATTCTGCCATCTGCATATTTCCAACAAGCCTGAATGGAATGTGAAAGACAGGCAGCTAAACTATGCCCCATCTGTCCTGCCCTCACTTGTTCTCTCTCAGTCTCTCTCTCTCTCTCTCTCAGTAGATAAACCCTTTGGATAAAAATGCACACTGTTCGAACTTGACTTTTTCAGCCTGCTGGGTCTATCCGTGCAACAGAATCAAGTGCAAGAATAGACGGTACCAGTTTAAACTGAAGATGAATGGTGCAAGTTTTTTAATGCCACAGATGCACACCTACTTGTCTCAAGTTCTAAAATAGTGTATGCAAAAATGGGCTTTTTCCCACTTGCATATAGGTTTAAAAACAAACCATAGGAGCTCTTTCAAAACGTGGTTCTTTTCCTAGCTTGTATTTCAAAGCGGAACGACTCTTCCTGTTACCCAAGTGTCTTCTGCTTATTTATTTATTTATTTACATACAAAAACCTTCTAGAAAGACACTTCAAGTTGACAGTTAAGGTGTGTACTGCAGAAATAGGAATGTAAATTTTACACTGTAAACAATAAAGACTAATAAAAATAATTGCACCTTTAGAGGGGAAAAGTATAAAAATCTACATTTAAAAAGGCATGTTATTACCTTTTATGAAAACAGTGACATTTGAAGGCAGATCTTAATTCTGAAAGGGTTGCAGCTCCACAGTCTGGAAGCAATCCAGGAGAAAGGAGGTGAGGAGTGGAGGCTCATTCTTTAGATGCAGACGTCCCTGGTTCAATCCTTTTTATTGCCAGGTAGCCCTGGAGAATCACAGCCAATCAGTGCCGACAATACAGTATTGGGTTTGATGAACCAATGGACTGAGCTCTCTATGTTCCTGTGTTCTCTCCTGTGCGCCCATTAAGCAATCCTATGCAAGGAATGCTGCCCTCAGAAGGGTTTCTCCTTAATGTCTAGGTGGGCTTATAAGAAGACAGGCGGCATCTTAGGTCACCAGGCCTTAAGCCTTTGAAGGCTTTGACATTTAGAATCAACACCTTGAACGCAACCTGCAAAATAATTAGCAACCAGCTCAGGTTGACAGCAGTATGATCCCAGTGCTGTCTACATGTTAGTCTTTCACCATTTGAAGCAGGATGTTCTACAAGGGTAGCCCTATGCAGTAGTCAAGTCAGGATAAGGTGTAAGTCCTTGTTGCCAAATCAGATTGAAGGAGAGAAGGTCATAGGTGAGCTGGTGGGCTTAGTGTGACTGTGCAAAGGGTATTCCTTACCATGTGGAAAAGACTGCAAGGGTCAAGAATGGCTCCCAGATTATGACTGTGATCTGTCAAGGGGGTGCACATCTGTTTCCTGATTCCCAAGCCAGACTTTCTGCTGATAGATATTTCATTCCTCTTGCATTGTGCTGCTACATCTATAGCTCCAGCCTTAGAATTTTATTGGTGTTCACAATCTAACTCTTCAATATTCTGTACCCCATACGTAGACTTTCATGGAAGAAAGGGCTGGCAAGCAGTTTAAATTGTATCCAAATAATTTAAGTATGCTTATGATTTATCATATGCCACTATCATATGCTCTCTCTCTCTCTGTTGTATTTACATTTACAAACAAGCAAGAAAGTGAATCATATCCCATTCTGAATAGATTCTTTTTAAGTATATTTCAGACACAATATGAAAAGTGCCCTGTAACTACTTTGCATTGATTGCTGTGTTAATGCGTAGGTAGTATACAAAAATTATGTGACTGTGATGTGGCAATTAGTGTTTTGAGTAAGATTAGAATGAGGGGGAGAGATACTGTAGGTTCATACACTCAGTGAGTCTTGATGCAGTAGATGAAGTGATTCATTGAAAGGCACGTCTCACATAGATTTCATTTAAAGCATAGATGAGAAATATGTGGCCTGCCAGATATTGATAAACTGCTACATCCATCATCCCATACAAGTAGCATGGCTGGATACAGTGGATGGGAACTGGAATCCACAAACAACTGAAGGGAAACAGATTCTCCAGTGGTGACTTCAAGATGTACTGGTATCTTCATGAAGTTGCAATATACAGGAGACGTCTTGAAAAGTAGGGTGGCATGAGGACTGTAGTTCTTTGATCTTTTAAATATGTTTCTGAGGGATATTTATGGCATGGATCATAAGTTTGCCCTTGTATCTCACAATACGCAATATCCTTGACTTAAAAGACCAAGTCAAGGGTGATCAAAATGGAGACCTCTGGAAGTTGATGGACTATAACACCCATCAGTCCTTGCCATTGGCTACACTGGCTAGGGCTGACAGAAGCTGGGCACCCGAGGACAGCTGAAGAGCAGCTGTTTGCCTAGCCCAGCTCTTCTGTATCCTCCATACCTTCCTTCTGGCTTGTTTCTCCTCTTGTCTGAACAACTTATCTCTGAAATGTAGTCAATGAGTGGGTCTCATGAAAGGTAAATGTTTACCGCATGCTGTCTAGGTAAAGCACACCTTTCACTGTTTCTCTTAAGTAGGAGAAGTGTTTTGCATCTAAGGAATGTCTCTTCTAAGTTGTTTTGATGTTCCTATAAAATAAATGATATCATCTTGAAACCATGCAGGAAATCTCTCTTTATGAGTTCCAACAATGTTCTTCAGCGAAGGAGTTACTGACTTTTGGGTGGGGAAAACAGCCACCTTAATGGCTCGGGTGACTACATCATGTGTATTTCTATAGGTAGTAGCTCCCCATGTAGAAGAAATATTATTCCACATATGGTAGTGGTTCCCAAACGTGAGTAACCCAGATGTTCTTGGACTGTGACTCCCATAATCTCTGGCCAGCACAGCTAGTGGTGAAGGTTTCTGGGGGGTTGCAGTCCAAGAATTCCTGGGTTACCCAAGATTGGGAACCACAGAATGGTCCATCCTTGGTCTGGTTCAGGCAAATCACAGACAGGGAATATCTGGCCTTCCTGATGTTATTGGGCTGTAACTCCTCTGTTTTCTAGCCAGCTTAGTTGATGGCATGGCACAACGGGAGTTGTAGCCCAGATGTATACTGTATAAGGGACACATCTTCCCTCCCTTCACATAATGATCACCAAGGGATTCTATATCTGTGGGAGTTGGGAAACAAGAATTGTTTGGGCTTTTTTTGGAAACAGACAAAATATCATTCCAAATCCTAGAGACAGGATTTTCCCCAAGGTCCTCTTGGCAGACTTCAGCACTGTCAAAGAGATCCAGCGGCAGCTGCTGCTTAAGTGAAAGAATAAGAGAAGCCATCTGGTTTTGACCAAGCACCCAGTTCTAAGAAATTCTGTTCATCTTTGCTTGCCAGGAAGCCATAATGAAGTTGTACCATTTTCTTTATTGGGGTGTGTGCATGTGCGTTGAGGGGTCCTATTGGCTTAATTTTGCACAATTGCACTGTTATATAGGATCAGGATGTCCATGCCAGATTCATTGGTGTGGAAGTCTTAGGCTACAAATGGGGAGAACCCGGATTGATGTAGTGATTGGATTGCGGAGAGGATTCAAATCCCCGCTCAACTGTCTGAAGTCTGGACTGATCACCACGCTCTGTCAGCCTAAACTGCATCTCAAGGTTCTTGTGAAGATGAAGACAGGTAACAAGACCATGCACACACCTTGAGCTTACGGAGGAAACTTGCCAATTTAGAAAAGAAAGATTTCAAAA